CAATAGGAGAACTGTCTCTAACCTAGAATTCTCTCTTATGTACTGCTTCTCAGCCTTTCATCCTTCATAGCCTCCCTTTGAGATGAATCACCCACTTTGGGCATCTCTGCTATGCCATGATGTTTCCTGATTCATTGCCCCAAAACATCCCTTTGGCCTACACTGTACCCTGGCTTCTCTGTGAGTTTCCATGGGGATAAAAGGTTTGAAAAGATTGGGTAAGATGGAGCTGAAGAGAAGGGACATGAAGGAGGGAATCAGTACAAGACTGGAGGTGGAGAGTTTGTGGGGAAATGAAGAAGAAAGAGGGACATGGAGAGAACTAAGACATGTGGGAAATAAGTTTAAGAATTCTTTACTCTTACACCAATGGTTTAACAACGCTTAGGGTGGAAAGCTGCTGTAGGTCAGTCACAAACGTGACCCAGTGTTTCACCTTTCACCTGTACCTCCTCCCAACACACCACAGCTGAGGCTCTGTGATGAAACTCCTGTTATCACCAAGCTCACTTTCCCCTCAACACTGGTCAATGATCCAGGTGCAGAATTCCATCTGGAGGACATGCTTCCTAGGGCCACTCCCAGTACCAGCTGTTGTAGTCAGGCTCCCCTCAGAGCAGAGCTTGAGATAGGATGCATGTGTCACTTAACTGGGAAACCATCTTAGGGAGCAGGAGTCCCTGGAAGACAGGGGTTAAAAGGAGAGTGAGACCAAGGAAGACGGGGTGTCCCTGACCAAGGGGTTCAGCACCAAAGCCTCTTCAACGGACGTCCGCCAGAGAGTTGATAGAGCATGAGCATATGAAATGCCTCCTGTAACTGTCTGAGGAAGGGGTGCTGGGGTGTCTATCCATTGGCTCCCCTTTCCTATTGTCAAGGAGCTGTCTGGCACTCATGCTCAGACCTAGTGAGGACCCATCCCCACCACCAAAATTCATGGCATCAGAGAATCCCAAGAAAGAGGCTACCCTCTGTCAGCCTGCCCCAAGCAGAAGCCTCAGGGAAACTGTCACACCCAGCTACAGATGAAATTAGAAGAAAGGCAGAGGGAGATGTGAGGCTGACATCTCATATGCCTGCCACAATGTGCTTCCTAGAGGTGTTATGAGGAATCACAGGGACCCAGGTGCAAAAAGTACTTGGCATATTATCCTGTACCTAACACATACCCACAAATGTTATCAGTTGGTATGTTGATGTGTCGCCAAAGTTCTGTTTTCAGCTTAGGGAATCTTACTTCATTTAATCTGCAAGTAATGCTCTGTAGTAGATGAGATGCTCATTTCACAGATGAAGACACTGAGGATCAAAGGGTAGGGCAGCTCGACCAAAGTCAACCACTCAAAGCCAGAAAATGGGCCTGTCCACAGCACGTCTCCTCCCGCAGAAGGCTTTTCTGGTGGGAGAAGACAGAGACCCTCTCTTGGGAGAGGAGTGTTGAGTAAGTAGTGGCGGGAACACACTCCTTAACCCTCCTGCGTCTTCTGTTTATTAGTCTGCAGCCTTCACCGGGGCTCTCAATCCCTCAGGGCCTGGCCTACGCAGTCATATTGGCAGGCAGCCCCTCAGGAGGCCCTCTAGCCCAAAATAGCTTGTCTACCCCCACTTCCAGAGTCGCTGCTGGGCGCCCAAGACCCAGTCTCAGGGGCTTCCACTAACAAGGCCCTGAGGGAGAAAACACCACACTTCTGAGGACTCATTAGGAAACTGGGTTTCAGGAAAGCTTCTCCTTCTTGTCTCTCTTCTGGGGCTTCTTTCTCATCCCAGGTCCAAGACAAGTCTGGAAATTACTGTATCTGTGCCCAAAGGCTCTTCTTGGGGTTGACATCTGAGAAATAAATCCCTCCCTTAGAAAACCCTGTGTCTAGTCCCATTTACACCCCTCACATTCCTGAGAACGTGAACAAGTCCTGTAAACCTCAGTGGTCCTACCATTAAATGGAATTTATATCAGCTTCTCTAACTACTTCCTATACAGCTAGGGCTAGAGATAAAGCCCCTTTTCTTCTTTTTCAAAGAAAGTTTGAACACCAGAAGGTGTGATGCATGGTACCTATATTTAGGAAGGGTTTGTATTGTTTACAAAATGACTGGTCTCTCTCCCCATCTGTCTACTCCGTCCTTGGAGGAATAGCACTCTAAGGAAAATGCTAGGCTGCAGAAACTATCAGCTTCTTTCCTTGATTTCTTATATCTAGACCTCCTTTCTGGTGCATCCATGGGTCTACAGAACTCCTCGTCTTCTTTCCTGAAGAACCTCGCTGGTGTCTATGCCCATGCCTAGGTGAGTGTGCTCAGGGGTCATACTCTAACAAAACAGTGATGGGGCCTCTGTTGCCACCATCAGCTCAATATGACTTTTCATGAGGTACAATCGATGCCTCTGGATTAAAAGAAGCTGTTTTATGGGAAGATCTGAGGCTACAACCCAAAGATCCTGGCTCTCTTTCTGGGCCCCTTTACCCACACCCCCCTTTCTTGGAAGCCTGTTCTCTTTGACTCTTAGAGAGTATGAAGGGATTCACTGAATCTGAATCTCAGCCTAGGACCCACTGCATCAGGCAGCCTTCAACCTTCACTCAAGTCCCAGGTCTTGTGGAGCTTTTTCATCAAAAGGATCATGGAGGTATTCTTTGGAGTTCCAGACTAGGAGGCTGTAATAGCTCACTAGGGAGACCTGGGCCTCATGACAGCGCTCTGAGAATGCTAATGCAGCGGGGCTCCTCAGCTCGGGCAGTGGGGGGACCCTTTAGACTCTCTGGGTGTCTCTGCATGATCAGAGGTCTTTAGAATCCCACTTATTTCAAGCAAACTGCATCTCCGGTCACCTGAGGGCTGGTGGCAGCTTCTTTGTTGCTCTTCTATCCCTGGTTATAAGTTACTTATCTTATAAGGGCCTATCCTTTTGAGTGGTTTACTCAAAAAGAAATATGGTCCTGTGTGTATTGCTAGGTTACCTGCTTGTCCCATAAAACCAAAGAAAGCAGCAGCCTTGCACCCTCCACTTGCCTCTACACCTCCCGTAAATCATCCTAACCCACAAATTCTAGCCTCAGCTCCAAAGTGTCCAGAAAGTCTTCCATGACAACTCTAGGTCACACTGATGCTCTCTTTCTCTGCAATCCTATGAACACTTGAGCCATCTATTTATTTATTTAATAAACACTGAGTACCTACTCTATGTAAAGCAGTATGATAAGTAGTGCCACTGTAAAACTGAATGAAACCTGTTTCTGGACCTCATGTTACTTACATTTTTTAAAAAAGTTTAAATGTGTTTTTTATTTATTTCTGAGAGAGAGAGAGAGAGAGAGAGAGAGAGAGAGACAGCATGAACAGGAGAGGGTCAGAGAGAGAGGGAGACACAGAACCTGAAGACACACTCCAGGCTCTGAGCTAGCTGTCAGCACAGAACCCGACACGGGGCTCAAACCCACGAACCACGAAACCATGACCTGAGCCGAAGTCAGACGCTTAACCAACCAAGCCACTCAGGCACCCCCTCATGTCACTTACAGAGAAGTAAGGGAGATATGCTTTATAGAGAAATGACTTAACTAGACAATACTCAAAAATAAATACCATGAGATAATGTGTAGTGCTAGCTTAGGAGAGAGAGACAGAGATACTTTTGATACTGGGAACTCCCAGGCAGCCAGACTTAAGTCTTGAAATACGTGGGATGTAGAGTTCGAAAGGGATCCATTGCAGGCAGAGAAAACTGCATGAGCAAGAAGATAGAAAATCACAGGGTCACAATCTAGTGCTTATGTTAAAAAAGGAAAAGAGAGAGAGTAGTTCAATGCTCTTTAATGTAGTATATGTACACAGCTGTTATCCATCCATTGATGTGTCCATTTGCAAATCACTGATCAATGATCAACTTCAGAAGTTATGAGTTGCCTGAGATTGATCCTCCTTCTCGCCAATCTGGTAACCTAGAATTTTAAGCATATTTTAGAGATCACTGCACCCAACTTTTCATTCATGTGAACCCATCACCTTTTCCCCTTCTGTTAGAGTCAACAGATTCCAACTGCTTCCCTGTGATTCCAGCATATTCTATGCAAGGGAATAACATTACTCTTAGGAAGTTCTAGCTCTGTGTATCCCCATGGCCATAGAGAAACACTGATTTTTTTTAAACCAGGTTCTTTTATGATATTTGGAAAACGGGGCTCAGTCTGCCTCTCTAGTATGTGCATACTTCCTTTGAGAATCTTTCCTTAGAGCTATTGGTCAAACTACTGTGCCTGAGTCAAGGACAAGTGGAAGGTTGGTGGCTGTGTGATGCAGAACACGAACTGCACCCAGCTGCAGCTGCCCCACAGGTTATGCTTACAATTTTGATTTCAGAGGTAAGTCGCAGATACTATAAAAACAATAAATAATTTTAAATTAAGCTGTTACAAAGCCTTAGTTAGCATCAAGAACATCAACAATTTATTGGCCTAAGGATTTTGAATTTATACTTCAGCCTACATTTCTCACCTTGGATAAATATACTTGGTTCAACTATCTGATGTCTGCAGTCAGGGGTCTGAGTCTTGCTATCTTTGCTTGATCTCTATTTCTAGAAGCTTTGAAGCCTAGATTTTCAAATACTTTCTGGTTTCCCTGGAAATATAATTAATTTTTCTATTGTGAAATCTCCTTATTGATTTGGGCTCCCTCAGAGTAAAAAGGAGAAGTCCATCTTAATCTCACTGCATTTATAAAGGAAGTCTGCTTTTCTCCTAAATCATTTCCCCAAGTACTGCGACACTGTCAACTAGGAGAGGATGGAAGGGACAAAATGATGATGGCTTGGGGCATCTCAGCTGAGAGCAGAGACACTAAGTTGATGGAGGAGGTCAGTGATGAGGTGTAATCTGGGGAGTGAGACTATCATCACCTGGACAGCTGAGAACTTACCTGGGGCTTTAAACATGGATGGTTTAACATTTACGTTGAATAAACAAATTGGAATGGACTGATATCTCCCTTCTTGGGACATTTCTTTACAGAAACTCATGGAACCAGAAGTTGGGGTTAACAGGACATCTGTCACTGAGTTCATTCTACTAGGCCTCGTGGAAACAGAACAGCTGCAGACTGTGCTCTTTGTCGTCTTCCTCTTTGCCTACCTGGTCACAGTTGGGGGCAACCTCAGCATCCTGGCTGCCATCTTGGTGGAGCCCAAACTCCACACCCCCATGTACTTCTTCCTGGGGAACCTATCCGTGCTGGACGTTGGGTGCATCACTGTCACTGTTCCCTCAATGTTGGCACGTCTCCTGTCCCACAAGCGTACCATTCCTTATGGAGCCTGCCTCACACAGCTTTTCTTCTTCCACCTTCTGGCTGGCATGGACTGCTTTCTATTGACAGTCATGGCCTATGACCGATTCCTGGCCATATGCCAGCCCCTCACCTACAGCACCCGAATGAGCCAGACAGTCCAGAGGATGTTGGTGGCTGTGTCTTGGGCTTTGGGTTTCAGCAATGCACTAAATCACACTCTTACTCTAACTACCCTGAACTTCTGTGGTCCCAATGTGATCAATCACTTCTACTGTGACCTCCCACAGCTCTTCCAGCTCTCCTGCTCCAGCACCCAACTCAACGAGCTGCTGCTTTTCATAGCGGCAGCCTTCATGGCTGTAACCCCCTTGGTCCTCATCACTGTGTCCTATGCATACGTGGCAGCTGCAGTTCTACAAATCCGTTCAGTGGAAGGCAGAAAGAAGGCCTTTTCCACGTGTGGCTCCCACCTCACTGTGGTTTGCCTCTTCTATGGTACTGGTATCTTCAACTACATGCGCCTTGGTTCTGAGGAGTCTTCAGACAAGGATAAAGGGGTTGGGGTCTTTAATACTGTTATCAACCCCATGTTGAACCCACTCATTTACAGCCTTAGAAACCCTGATGTTCAGGGTGCCCTGTGGCGGGTACTTGTGGGGAGGCAGTCACTGACTTAAGGTTTGACAATGTCCTTTCTTTCCTGCCTTTTCTGGACTAAGGAAAACTTCCCATGAAGGCAGCAACCTAAAAAATGGCCCATATTCATATCTCTAACTGCCTGAAGGTTTGTGTGATGTGTTTGTCCTCTGAAGAAATCCTATGTAATTCATTCATTAATTCATAAAACAAATGTTTATTAAATTGCTTCTAGGATCCAGATGTCCTCCTAGGGGACTGGCGAACAAAATAAACAAGGGTCTCTGCACTTATGCAACTCACATTCTCATGAAGAAAGACAAAATGCATAAAATAAATAAGCATCATATATGAAATACCACGTAGCGATAAGGGAAATAAAGAAAAATAAATTAGATAGGCAGCTAGGTTCTGCTGAGCAAGTGCCCCCGGTAAATTGCCACCTTGTGTTTGGTTGTGCTCACTTTCTGAAGCCTTGAAAGCCCAGTAGTTTTGGAGAGCAATGTCCTACAAGGAAGGGCTATTTGGCTAAGAGGTAATCAATTAAGTAACCAGTAATATCGCTGTGAAGGATTTTTTTCCTGGTGGGGACATAAGGTTCCATCTAGGTCAGAATGCAGAAAGACATTTTAAACCATGAGCCCAGTGCCAAGATTATCCACTTCACCTCCCACCTCCAAACAATCCATTCCTTCTCTTGACTATGACACAAGAAGCCAGTATAATGTTTAGTGGACAAGTAGGGTCTAGAGAGAGAACTAGCTCACTAAATTAAACCACTTTAATGCATACATGATATATCTCCAGGTCAGAAAAACAAAGTTCCATCCCAATCCCTTGCCGTGTCTTTCTTATTGGATGAATCTTCTTGCTCACAGATATGATAAAGCCTTTGTAAGAGTAAGCATTTATACTCTAACCAAGTCCTTCGATTTTTCAGCAAGGAGTGTACAATATAACTCTCTCTTCCAAGGTCTTGTCTTTCCCTCCCAAACACCCTAGCTCAGAAAATGCCCACAAATGAAGTTTCTGGAAGTGATTCCTCTTTCTAGCTTTATTATTACACCAGTACAGCTCCAATCCAGAGAATTTCCTCATCTTGATGTTTATCCAGCCTTCAGCTCATCCATTTCCGATTTGCACCTTTTCTCCAGCCTCCCTTGGAAGGCTATTTACCCTGTCCTGGCAATTCTACTGTCCCTACAATGTATCCTTCGTAAATCTGCCCCATGGCTACACCTGGAGGCTATGGAAATGAGGATGGGCTGAGAGGAGGATGTAAGAAAACGTAAGAGTGTGGGAGGAAGGACAGGAGTGGGAGTGGATTAATGAAGATATAATGTGAAGGTGCAGGGAGGGCTGCGATTGAATGGTGAGCCGAGGGGGTAAGAAGGAAGGACAGAAATTAAGGAAGAGAATAGGAGATGAGGAAGGATGGGAGAATTGGGATTAGCAAACGAGATGCCTCAGGAATGCTGGTGAACTCAGAGAGAAGTATGGAGAAAGTGGAGAATAAATGGGACGGGAGAGGAGAGTAGCATTCCTAGTATGGAATCACTCACTTCCCATCAGCATGTGGCCATGTAATAACTAGCACCTGTGATGTTACTGTTGGGTTCCCCCCGCCCCTCGTTCTAACTAGGAAAAACAAAGTTGAAGTTTTGCTGAAAATATAATGCTGCAGAGTAGTCTCGGTTCTCCTCTTCTGCTTCCTCAGGCCAGGAGCTGATCCTAGGAGAGCAGGGTGTAGAGCTAGCAGGGGAGAAGGAGGTGGAGGTGTGTGCTCAGCGTTCATTCCCCCACCACCCCACTGGCCCACTCAAGTTATCAACCTTCCTACCTTTGGGGGCAGTGCCTGCCAGTACAATCTAAGGAGCAGAGGGGAAGTCTGTCTCTTTCCTGATACTCTTGGGTCTCCAGACACTTCAGGGTTAAAGAGACCAAGCAAAATTCCTGTGAGTAAAAATCAGGAATGTGGGTTGTAAACACTGCTCTGAGACCTTAGAATTTCCTTTCTCCGGCTGGGCTTGTTCCAATCTATGCCTTAAAGAACTGGGACAAAGTCATCTCCTCCACAGCTCTTTGCACTAAATGACCCTGATTACAATAGGCTGGGTGAATTTCTTCCTAGGACTGAGCCCAGGAAACATTTTGAGAACATCATCATTCCATCTACCCTATGAGCATGTGACACGGCCCCAACTGGTCTTCTCTATTCCCCATCACAAGTCCCCAGGCCTAGGTGAGACAGCAGAGACTGGACTCTGGTCTTCTCAGCCCCAATTCCAAAATCCAGCGTCCCTTGATAGCTGACACTCTGGGCCCCTTGAGTAGTAGCGTATCTTGCAGGAATGCAGAAGCAGGATGCCTACCAAAGGAAGGACTCAACTAGGGAGACTGGCAAAGACGAGACCAAACCAGTCTGTGCCAAGGTGGACCCCAGAGCTGACCTTTCACCCACTTTCTCCTCCATTATAATACGAAAAATCGTGCCCAGGGGTGATTAGCTTTAACATGCTAATTACACATATGATGCACAAAGAAGCATGACCTTTGACCCCGCAGGTGCCAATAAACCCCTACCTCTACTTGTTTAAAAGACACCCTTTTCCTGCCCCATAGAAAACATTTTTTTTCTTCAACGCGAGTAATTGCCCCTTCCTTTTCCTCATACAAGCCCCTTGCTTTCATCCTACAAGCGGGGCACTGTTTGGATTTCTACCAGAACCTGTACTCTCTGAATTCCAATTCTTTAATCCCAAATAAGTGCTCATTTGCCTCTCACTGTGGCTCTTTATTTGCAGATTGATAGTCTTTATGCTTTTGATTTTGCGTCTCATTTTGGGTGAAAAAAGATTTTTTCCATCTATATCAAGCAAGCTAGGCAGGGTTACATTGTGCTAACAAATAGCCCCTAAAATCTCAGTGGTTTTCAACAGCAAAGGTTGATTTCTTATTTATGTGACGTCAGTTGTTTGATAGATCTAAGAAGAGTTGTTGTTTGATTGCTCATCTTTTTTATTTTGAGGATGAGCAACGACTTCCAAGTCTGAGTGGAAACCAGAAGTCTACAATGGATTTAATTTGGTAATGGCTTGTAGTGAACATTTACGGTCTTTCTGACTTCTATTTCTACCTTTCTAACAGCTCCCAGCTTCCCTCTGGCATCCAGGTGGTTCCTGGGAATGTGCTTCCACCCGTGGCTCCAGAGCAGAGGACTAGCATTTATCACTGGCCTGTGCCAGAGGCCGCCTCTGGCCGGGTTCAGGGGTCCCTGAAGGATGGACGGTGTCGCCGAGGGAGGGGTGAAAGAGCTATGAGAATCTTTCTGGTCACCAGGCAGGCATCTCTGCTCTGACTGGGGCTCAACTTTCTTTTATAATTAAGTGTTTGGGGGATGGCACAGAAGGCATTTGCCTTAGACAATGCTTTCTGATGACAAATTTTTTTGATATGTAAGAATTCCCCGGAACATAGATTTGTAGAAGACTCGTGCAGAACCTTTATCAATAGTGATTGAGGTAGGTGATTTAGATGCTTATCCTATGGGGAAAGAAGGTTTCCTTAGCATACAAGACAATGTTTTTAGCATAAAAAGACTGAGGTTAGTTCTTTGTGGGGGGGGGGGGGGTCAACAGCTTGTTTGTTTAAGGAGAACTATTAAGAAAAACAGGTCTTTCAGGAAACACAATGTTTGCTCCCATAATCACAAAAGAAGAAATTCCTCAATAGGTTCCTTCACAGGGTGCAATCAGCATATTCAAAGCCAGAATAAGTCACTCTAAATACTGATCAACAAAGATGCCTTGGGGGTCAGTGCTCCAAGCAGAAACAATTGGGTGGGGGTGGATATCCAGGCTAAATTAGGCTCTTTGTCTCAGGGTCAGGCTCAATTGTAACTCTTGTGTTCTTAACTCTCTTTATTATCTAAGTCTTGGATCTACAAGGCCCATAGGAAGAGCCTTTTGACAAACATCTGCAGTGCTTTCATCTACAATCTCTTTTGAAGAGGCAGGAATATGCTTTTCCTTATGAGGAACCTATGTGGGGAATATCGGTCTGGTTTGGGATATTGTGAGGCCTGGTCCATACCAGCAGGCTCGTTTCCAACGTGAACCAGTAGTATCAGAAGGAGATACCAGTTTTCATTTCTCATGGCAGGAGCTGTGCAAACGCTGCCGCTTCCTTCCTGTGACTGTCATCCAGCGAGGTCGGTGCGGCTCCCAGCAGGCCTGGCCTTAGTGATGGTTCTCTGCAGGCATGTGGCCTAAGGTAGGTTAATAAGATTCTTCATACTAGCATTTCACAGCTGGGTTTCCATGACAGAATTAAGCCCTATGCTTAATTCTGACAATTCTCTCAATTCTCTCAAGGCTCCATAGATAGCAGCATTCTAGATGCACAGGACAGAAGTTCACTTACTACACAGAATGGACACCTTAGGTTACTAGAACTCAATTCCCTTTGGAACTCTGGTTGAGAAGGGCTGCTGTAGATGTGTTCCTGATAAAGAACATTTTTAACTTTTAATGTTTGTGGGCCCTGCTTCTGGGCTCCCAGGGAAGCTATACTTTTACCAAGGTCACAATGACCTCACCAAACTTCAAAGCATGGGCAGTCTTTCTGCCCTGAGCACACATTGTACATCTGCTTCATTAGTAAATAACCTAAAAGAAACACTCCAAACTAAAAGTAAGAAGAAAATTCTCCCTAAATTCTGTTCCCATACCTCTGAAGCCTGTGACCCTGCACATACTAAAAGCATGAGATAAAAGTTTTTAATTTTCTGAAACGTCCTTGGCCATGATGACTATCACTCTTAATGTAACAAAAAACATATATAACCCTGGATTAAACATTCCTTCCCCAAAGCACTCTCTTCTTTGTGAAGATTGTATATCCTGGGCAGCAGGTCCCACTTGGGGGTTCCAATAAAACTCTCTGCCTTTTTTTAAAAGAAATTCTAAAAGTCTTGTTCATTTTGTGTGAACACTCCTAAGTCAACCAAAGACACAAACATCCTTGCCCTCTGAAGTCTGAG